GGAGGGGAGGGCAGGGCAGGGCAGGGCAGGGGAGGGCCAGCTGGAGGGGAGGGGAGGACAGGGCAGGGCAGGGCCGGCTGGAGGGGAGGGCAGCGGTTCCAATCCTAGATGTTCCCTTCCTGGCTATGTGGCCCAGAGAAGTCACTGTGTGTGTGTGTGTGTGTGCACACATTTAGAGTGTGTGCCTGCTTAGAATGGATTCTCCATTGGAGAGGATTTTGTAACTCTCTTATAAGAAAATCAGGTGGTTTGGAATTTTTGCCCTTAAGTGGAACTAGGGTACCTCCCTCAGGAGAGGTGACCCAGGGAAGCATGGGTGGCTCTAAGGGGATGTGTCACTCATGTTGGGGGAGGGTGAGTGAGTGCTGGGCCTCTTCTTCTTTTTGGTACCTGGTGGGTGGGTGGGGGGCTTTCCTTGATCTGGCCCCCAGCTGCGGACTGTGAGTGCCTCTGGTTAAGCTAGGCAGGGTCAGCCAGGGCTAATGTGGAGGTCAAGGGTGTGGGAGTCCCATTTGATGGTTCAGGGCTGTGCCCAAGGCCCCCTTTGCGCTGAGACCCCTTTTCGATGCTCGCCAGGGGCATCTAAAATCCAGCACACTTTGGGGGCCTGCAGGAAGGTTGGTTTCCGCTTCCCTCTCCGCTGTGCCCTCCCTGACCTAGGACCACACCCAGGTCCTCCCGGGGACCCAGGAAGCAGCCCCAGCCTCCAGTGCCCGCCTGCCCTGGCTGACAGGTGTCTGGGGGGTGAGGGTGATTTAATGAGAGAGAGACTGCCCGGATCCCTGCTCTCCTGCCTTAGCTCTGCGGGCCTCCGTGGGAGCTGGTAATAGAGCATTTACTCCCCTCCTAATGCCCCACCCCCTGCAGGACACAGCTGTTTGCTGGCCCTTGAGCCAAGCTCTTGAGACCTCCCTGCCTGGGTGGGGGGCCTGGCCAGGGCTCTGATGGGGCTGGGAGAGCACAGGGCTGGCCTTAGTGAGGCTGGGGCTTGTGAGAAGTGCAGGGCCAGGTCCAGCTTTTGAGGGAGGCAAGCAGGGTATGTTGGGGGGTCTTTCATGGCCAGGCCGAGGGGCCGGTGAGTGGAACTGGGACCCAGACATGGCTGCAGCCTGTCCCACCCTCCCTGCCCCCGCCCCAGCCCAGCCCCAGCCTGGGCCTCCTCTGCCCCCAAAGTTTGTTTGGGTAACTCTTCAGCCTGCTGATTTACGGGACATTCCGCTGGTTTTATCTGCGCAGCCCTTTTCTCTCTTTTGAAAAAGCAAAGGCTGTTTGGGCCAGAAACACCCAAAACCGCTTTGTGATACAGAAAGAAAGGCCTTCTGCTGGGCTGGGCCAGGCGAGGGTCACTGCGGGACTGACCTTCACACGCTGAGAAGTTTCATGGGACCTGTTCATCTTGGCTCCTGGTCCCAGCTCCCAGCCCCAGCTCCTGGGGTTTGGGGGCATTTGCTTTGCTCTTGAGCCAAGGGCTAAGGCTTCCCTCCCTCCCTCCTGTGTGCAGGGCAGTAGTTTACGACCCCAGCTTGCGTGAGTTTTTAGGGATTCAGAGGCCATACCCAGGACCTGCTTCAGGAGCTCCCTGTCCAAGGCAGAGGCAGCCTGGGCAGAACCTCCCTAGAGAGTCCAGAGCCGTGGGAGGTGGGAGGCCTTGCCTGTGGATGTGGCCCTGGGTGCTGCAGGTGGCTGGCCCAGGCCTGTGAACGGTGCCATCTGTGTGGGGACCCAAGGGCAGGATGTCAGAGTGGAGGAGCCAGGGTGGGCCTAGGGGTGGGAGAGAGCTCTCCTCACTTGCTGTCACTGGCTCTCCTTCATTCATTCATTCTGTTTATTCAGCTGTCCAACACATGTTTATGAAGTCCGTATTGGAGAGTGAATTGCTGAGATTTGAGCTGGGGAGAGTGAAGATATATTGATCCTGGCCGGGGGGAAGGATCAGGGGTGTGGAGGGGAGAGTAGAGGGGTCCTCTGAGGCTGTGCCTTTGAGCAGACCCTGCTGGCATGAGGAGCCATGCCCAAGGCCCTTGGCCAACTCAGCCTGGCCCTCCATCTAACCCCTTTTCCTCTCTTCCCTGCAGCAGGCAGGCTCCGGAGAGTTCCGCACGCTGCGGAAAGGCTTCTCACCCTACCACTCGGAGTCCCAGCTCGCGTCCCTGCCGCCCTCCTACCAGGATGCCCTGCAGAACGTGAGTGTGTGCCCCAAAGAAGCCCACGTGTTCTGGATGAGGGGCTGAGGCTCAGGTGGGCCAGTGACCTGCCCGGGGGCATGAGGATCTGGGTGCCTGACTTCAGCCCCGGCCTGAGGCCCTGTGTCCCTGTGTCCTGCTCAGCGTGGCAGTTAAGAGGTGGAGCCCCAAGTAGGGTGACACTGCAGGAGGTTCGGGGCAGTGTCCAGAGGCCACATGCACAAGGCTGCCTGTGCCCAGCCACTGCCCCTCTGAGCAGCTCGTTAGCCTGTGCCACTCCTTGGCTACAGCGGGGAGAGGGTGCCCAGCTGGCCCTGGAGCTTGGGGCTCAGGTTTGTGGATTCTGCCAATAACCTGGCTGACCTGCCCTGGAGGGAACGGGACAGGCCACCTGGAGCCAGCTCCCGCGAAGTGGACCCTAGCTTGGGGCTGCGCCCCGTGGATGGATGTGATGGCAGTGGGAAGCAGTGGGAGTCCAGGTCCACTTGCCCTCCTCGCATGAGGGCCTCACCTTGTGGGGCTTCCGCCTGGGGGAGCCCTGGCGGGCGAGTCGCTAATGCTCAGAAGGCGCTGGCTGTCCTTGTGGTGCCTACAGAGCCGTGTGTGGAGGTGCTTTTGGGCAGTGTGTGCGCCCGCAGCAGCTGCGCCCCTTCCTCCTCTCCCCCTTCACCCCTCGCCCGCAAGGCTGACCTCAGGCCCCCCGCAGAGCCGGCTAGACCTCAGTGCTGGCTGCTGGCTCTGCGATCTCGCTCTTGCAGCTCTTCCACTTTCTCCAGGAGTGCAGCTATTGAGGCTGCGCGGGCAGCAAAGCCTGCCGATGGCCCATCTTCCAAGCATGTATCCAGGAGTCCTGTGGCTGAACGAGGCTCTAATGCTTCAGGATGAAGAGCTCTGGAAAGCCAAGTGATGCCCCCAAGTGATGCCCCAAGTGATGCCCCCAAGGGGCTGGCTTCTTAGCCTTCATGCCCCGGGCCTCGAATGCATTCAGCTCGTGGGCTCGTGGGAGGGAGGGAGAGCAGCTCAGTGACTCAGTGCTGTGACCCGAAGTCCTCCGTTCGGCATCCCGCAGTCCTCCATGCGGCCTGCAGGTTGGGAAGTGCTGTGCAAGCACAGCTGTCATGTGCACTGGGTCTGCCAGACACTGTCGCCCTGCAGGCCTCGGAGAGCACACCCTGTGTATGGACCCAGCCTCAGGGCCTCACAGTGCTGGTAATATGCTGTGAGAGTTCTGGAGTATTCGGGGTGGCTTCCGGGAGGCGGCAGCCTTGGGAGGGGCTTCGTGCCCCTTACCTCCTATTTTCCTCTAGATGGCCCTGTGCATGAGGGGCTGTCCCCCACTTTGGAGAGGAGGAAGTGACGCCCATGGGGTGGGGTAGATGGTCAGCCCCTCTGGTGGTGTGTGCCTGTGTGTGCCTAGCCGTTAGGGGCCGGCGTGGGGCCGTGCAGGGGCTCTGCTCCATGAGGCTGGGAGGCAGGGTTATAAACTGAGGTGCAGGGGGCAGGATCGGGGGTGGTTGGTGGGAAGGCCCCCAAGAGTGATTATTGAGGGTTAAGGTGTCTCATGGGAGGGGCTGCCATGAAAGCTGCAGAAGAAGCTGCCGCGGAGGTGCCAGGGCTAGCGGCCCAGGGGCCGGGCCTCGTGGAGTGCTCACAGGGCACTGGGCCCTTGCTGGGCCCTGGAGAGCCCACATCCGTCACTCGGACCCCCGGGGAGAGTGAGGGGATTGTCCGGGGAGGGCCTCTCTGGGTTCAGACACTGCCTGGGACTTGGGCCCTTGCAGACCTGGGCAGCTCTCCTTTAAGGCTCCCTGTGGCTCATGGGCATCGCGAGGGCATGCCGGAGAGGGTCCCTGGGTAAAGCAAGTGACTCTGTGGGGTGGGTACCCCCTCCCTGCCCACTGCTGCCCCTACCCTCCTACTGCTGGCTGTCAGGGCAGGTGCCCAGGCTGAACCCCAGGGGAGGGAGGTGGGAGGATACAGGAGAACATTTTCATCACCCCAGAAAGGCACCCTGTACCCATTGGCAGTCACACCCATCCCCCTTCCTCCCAGCCACTGGTTGGTTGGTGCTTTCTGTCTCCATGGATTTGCCTATCCTGATATTTCATATAAATGGAATCGCATGACGTGCGGCCTTCTGTGTCTGGCTTCTTTCACTCTGGATCTTGTTCTCAGGGTCCATCCACAGGTACCCTGTGTTGGTCTCATTGCTTTTTCACGGCTGAACGCTGTTCGATCGTACGGATAGAGCACTTCCTTCATTCCTTGCTGCACATTTGAATTGTTTGCATGTCGGGCTCGCACGAATGGCGTTTTTAGCATTTGGGGACAGGTATTTTGTGGATGTATATGTTCAGTTCTCTCTGGTGAACGCTGGTATCCTCATTTTGGGCACCAGCTCGGGAGTCCCACAGACTTAGAGTTCAAGGCCCAGCCCCATTGTTTATAAGCTGTTTGGTCTTGGGCAAGCCATTCTCTTAGCCTCACTCTCTTCGTCTGTAAAGTGGGCATGTAGGCCAGGCACGGTGGCTCACGCCTCTAATCCCATCACTTTGGGAAACCAAGGTAGGAGGATTGCTTGAGTCCAGGAGTTCAAGGCCAGCCTGATGAAACCCCGTTTCTACAAAAAATACAAAAATTAGCTGGGCATGGTGGTGTGCACCTGTGGTCCCAGCTGCTCTGGGAAGATTGCCTGAGACTGGGAGGTCGAGGCTGCAGTGAGCTGAGATTGTGCCACTGCACTTCAGCCTGGGCGACGGAGTGAGATTCTATCTCAAAAAAAAAAAGTAAGCATGTTTGGATGTGTAGAAAGATAGCGCCTGCCTGGAGCAGTGTAGCAAGCACTCGGTGGGCAGTGCCACCCTAAGTGGGCACCTAGTCAGTGGGAGGTGTGAGTGGCCCAAGGGGGCTGAGTTCCAGTGCAGAAGGGGCCTCTGCACCCTGGGAATGCCCTGGAGGTAACACTGGGACTTTGTCTACTTCGGGTGTCACTTTCACCATCCCAGGCCATGCCCTTGCTGGCACCCACCACTGCCTAGTGAGGCGGGCAGGAGAGGGGCAACTTGTACTGCCCCACCCCACACTCCTGGCTTCCCTTCTGCCTGTGCTGCAGGAATCCCAGCCTCTTGGAGCTGGGGGCTGTAACAGGACAGGCAGCCCAGGGGCCTGATGCAGATGGGGACATAAGGCCAGAGGTGCCAGGGGCCGGCTGGTACATGGACTGTGTTCTGTAGGGGAAGGTGCAGGTAGGTGCAGGTGCCCGGGTCTCTCAGGGCCGTGTGCGTGTGACTGACACCCCCTGCTGGCCGGCATGGGGAATGCCACCTTCTATGTTAGGTTGGGGCACCACCCACTTGCACTGCCCCAGTGGGAACCCCTGGCAACCCTGTTGGGTCCCCACACCACAGATACCTGACAGCCTGGGCTGGAGTTAGGGGTTTACACAGAGAACCTGGGGCAGAGAACCCTTTCTGTTGTCCAGACAAGGAAACTGAGGCTCAGCGTGGGTTGGGCCCAACTCCGTGATGCTTTCCTAGATTCCAGTGCTCTGGGGGGCCTCCAGAGGTGGCAGCTCCCAGGCCCCCTAGCCTCAGGGGTGGGGCCTGGTGTCCGACTGGAGGCAGGAGCAGGTCAGCCTGCAGAGCCCTGGGAGCAGGTCCAGGCCAGGGTGGGTGGGGAAGGCCCCAGGGGTCAGCTGCCCAGCCTGCAGGAGCTTCCCAGCCCTGCAGTGTTAGGTGGCCCCTGATGCGGGCCTGGGCAGGTGGGATTCCAGCCCAGCTCCCTGAGCCTTTGAGGCTGTTGGGAGGTGTCATCCAGGCCCCATTTACAGAGAGGGCAGCAGACTCAGCTGCCAGGGTCGGCCCAAGGATTGCCAGAGTGGGGAGCCCTGAAGACTAATGGAAAGCCCGCTTCCTGTTCCCTCCCTGCCCACAGGGCACCGCTGGGGGTTTTCTGTCTGGCTTTGGGCACTTGTGAGTTCCCCCTAAGCCTGTCCCAGCATCTGGTGACCTCCTAGTTCCTGTTGGCCCCCTGCGGTCCCCACTGCAGCTGGAAGCAGAAGCCCTGCTCTTGGCTTCCCAGCCACATGGACCCTTGCAGGCAGGAAGCTGGGGGTGGGATCGCCTGCTCCTGGGTAGACACGCATTGTCTGACAGAGGCTGGGTCCCCTCCCCAAGGCCTGATGTGGGAGCCGGGCACCTGGCGGCCAATTCATCTGACAGGACTGGGAGGTAGCAGCCGGGAGGCAGGGCCTCGGGGTGCTCAGAGTGGAGCTGGCCTCGCCCACAGGGGCACCAGAATGGGAAGGGGAAGGGACTTTGGATTCAGGTGCCACAATTGAGTCCAGACCTTCCTGGTCTTGCTGTGATTAGGGTCGCTTGCCCTCCCTGGGCTGAACTTGCTTTCCCTGCAAAACAGATGCTAGGTCTTATCTGTGGGAGGCTGTAGGGCAGCCCAAGAGGTGTGGGTGGACCCTGGACCACCCCTTTTGCCTCTGTGCTGTCAGGGACCATTTCATCTGTGGAAGACCTGGTCGGCAGGACTGGCAGGTGGGGCTGTGGGCTCCTTGGGGCTCCGTGCTCATACCTGCTTCCTCTGCCTCACCCCCGTCCCCTTTTCCTCCCACCTGGGCCCTGGCCTCTGAGCATCAGTGCCTTCTTGAGCCACTGGTCATGCCTGTGGCCACCACGTGGGAGCCAGCCAGGGTGAGCTGAGATGTGTGATTCCCTCCCCCAGGGCCCAGCCTGCCCCGTACCTGAGCTGCCCTCACCCTCCTCTGCCAGCTACAGCCCTGCAGGACAGAAGCCGGAGGCTGTCGTGCACGCCATGAAGGTGAGGGCCACGACCCGCTCCCTCAGGAGCCCCGGATGCTGGGTGTGCCATGGGACTGTGGGGCCTTTGTACCTGGGGGCATCCAAGTGGCAGGGGTGGGGGGTTTCATCTGTGTATGGGTGGCTGGGTGACCATGGCTGCCTGGAGCACTGTGAGGACAGAACTCAGAGGTGGCAGTTGTAAGTGTGTCACCTGTCTGCCACCCCTGAGCTAGCAAGACTGAGGCCTGGGGTTGGGAGGGCAGGCGCCCCACTAAGCCAGAGAGTTAGGGACAGGAGTGGGGCTGGAACTAAGCTCAGGTCCCCCAGGCCCAGCCTCTGCAGGTGCAGGTGAGCGGGTCTGATGGGCTCCGGTTTCCCCAGGCTGTGTACACCTGAGCACAGTCCCCACTCCCGCGCCCCATGACATCTCACACGTGTGCACAGGCATGCCCACACATACTCCCACCCCCTCCACGCTGTCTCCAGTGGGCCCTGGGTTGGAGTGAGTCCACCTGTCTGAGGTCATCCCTGCCCTGTCTCCCTCCCCGCAGGTGGCCCAGCCATGAGCTGCTTCCCTTGGGCATCCACGCATCAGCAGGCTGAGGAGAGGACCTGCCCCTCAGTGTTTTCCACACTTGTCCCCAGGGTCCCCGCAGCTCAGGGTCCTTAGCTTTGGTTTACAGCAGAGAAGCTGAGGCTCAGGGACCAGGCAGCTTGCCCAAGGTCTGCCTGTGGCCTCTGACCCTGACCCTGAGGCCTGTTTCCTTCAGGTCCTGGAGGTGCATGAGAATCTGGACCGGCAGCTCCAGGACAGCTGCGAGGAGGACCTGAGTGAGAAAGAGAAGGCCATCGTTCGTGAGATGTGCAACGTGAGGCTTCCGGGGTGGGGGCCGAGGCCTGGCACTGGGAGGGTGCCCAGGGCCACCCAGCATGGCCACACCCTTCCCTGAGTGGGACTCCATTTCTCGAATGCTCAGCCACAGCGGGGTGGTTTTGGAGGCACTGCGAACCCTGGCCAGTCGTCACCTCGCTGCCCCCCGCCCCTCCCAGAGGGCCCCTAGTCTGCAGATCCACCCTTCCCAGGAGTGCCGTGCCAGGGGTTCGGGATAGAGCCTGAGCCCCCCACTCCCTGGGACTGGTTTTGTTTGCCCCAGATGTTCCTGGGTGTCTGGCCCCTGGGCCTCCCAGCTTGCTGGTGCCGCCTGTGGCTGCCGGCTGGGCAGGTGGTGCTCCGAGCAGGAGGTCCAGGTGGAACCCTCCCGCCTGCCAGGCTGGGGCCACCCAGGAGAGCCCAGTGCCCCACCCAGCTGAGCACCATCGGTGGTCTCCTTGGGTGCTGGCAGGAGCCATCCGGGAAGGGGTTTTGTGGGGTCTGAACCCAGGTCTTATGTGGGTGGGACGGGAGCTCTGAACTGCAGCCCCTCCCCTGCATCATCTGGTGGCGCCCATGGACGCCGCTGGACAGTTGCAAGGTCTGATAGTGAGGGTGGCGTGCAAAAACCTGGCGTGGGCGTCTCTGGGCCTGCAGTGGCCTCCATGTCCCTCGGGGCCCCATGGCTCTGAGGACGTGGGCAGTTCTGCAGTGAAGAGGCGGCAGGTGTGCACAGCTGGCGCGTGGACGTGGGCGAGCCCCCTCACACCCTGCTCCCCTCCACAGGTCGTCTGGAGAAAGCTGGGGGACGCGGCCAGCTCCAAGCCCTCCATACGGCAGCACCTGTCTGGGAACCAGTTCAAGGGGCCTTTGTAGGGCCACTCTTGCATGGACGTGGACTGGCCCCACTGGGGGTCCCCAGGGGGAGTTTCAGGCCCTAGCCACCGCAGGACCTCCGGCCGAGCCCGTCTTCTTTCTCTGTGGTGAATTGTACATAGGACGCTGCCCACCCTGGCCCAGGCCGCCATCTCCCGCCTCACACACCAGCAACCTGGGAAGAGGAGACGCTGCGACCCGAGCTACAGATCGGCCTGGACGCCTCGCTCCCTCTGGGCCCCGGGCCCTGGGTTTCATGAGCAAGAGGCTGCAAGCTGCTTCTGAGATCCAGCCCAGGGACTGTCCAGGCTCCTGTGTCCCGCCTGGGATGGAGGGGCCACTCATCAAACCCTCTTCTCCTGGCTGCCACCCACACTGGACGGAGACCACCGCTACCTGGGTCTTGCTGCAGGTGGCAGCACTTCTCACCCACCTGCCGTGGCCTGGCCCCAGGCCCACCCAGCACTGAGTCCCCGGCACCGTGGACAAGGCTGCTTACTGTGTCCGTGGCTGGCTGGAGGCTGCCCTGGGCCCTTTCTGTGACACTCAGCCCTGGAGCTCAGGGTCCCCTCACACCTGGAGATCCATCCCCAGCCACCCAGTGCCAGCTGCTCCTTGCTTTTGGAGGTCACCCCCCTCCCCCAACAGTCTCTGCAGTGTCCCCCCGCCACCCTGTCCCCCAACACACAGTCTCTGCAGTGTCCCCCGCCACCCTGTCCCCTAACACACAAAGTCTCTGCAGTGTCCCCCGCCATCCTGTCCCCTAACACAGTCTCTGCAGTGTGCCCTGCCACCCTGTCCCCTAACAGTCTCTGCAGTGTCCCCGTCACCCTGTCCAGGCTGCCCCCTTTTTGGGTTCCTCCTGCCCCATGCCTGAGGCATGCCCCTTTCTGTGGTTTACATGACGAAGGGCCTGCGGAGAGCTTCTGGGCTGAGCCACATGGGATTCTCCTGGTGGGCAGTGCTAGGCCTCAGCTGGGGCTCTGGTTGGCTGTGGCCTCCCCCAGGGACTGGCTGCACCTTGGGTCCCTGTGGACAGAGCTGTCTGGGTTGCAGATGAGAGTTTTGCTCTTTTTGGGAAGGAGGAGGCCTGGCCTGGTGCTGGCTTTAGTTTGCGGTGTGACCTTTAGCAGTTCACGCAGCCTCTCTGGGCCCCTGGTGGAAACATAGGTCTCTGAGGTTCCTTTCAGCCTTGCTTATGGCTGCAGGCCATTCAGTGCCACAGGGCAAGGGTCCTCACTAGGGGCATGTGAGCCGCCAGCTGACCTGCTGGGGAGGCCAAGGCGGGCTGGGCGGAGCCAAGTTCTGCAACCTTGCCATCCTCGCTGCGGGCGGACAGTTGCGTCCCGCTCTGAGCGCATGTCCCCAGCTGTAAAATGGGCAGCATAAGGCCCTCCTCACAGGATTCTGGGGATCAAGTGAGCTCTTTGTGTAAATGACCATGTATAAACTGTAAAGTGCAATAGAAAATTTTGCGTGGGGTAAGTGATGTGTGGCACGTGACAGGTGAGATCCTAGAGCCGCAGCGGGGACAGGCCACTCCCCACATCCGCATGCTGCTGTGAGCAGCCCTGGCTCGAGTCCAGGACCTCACCAGGTCCTCGGCAGACTCCCTTGCTCTTCAGGGGTGCTCAGAGCCCCAGCTGAAGAGCCCAGAGGCTGTCTTCCTACCCAGCAGGTCTCCCGCAGGCCTGAGGCTGGAGACGCAGGCAGGAGGGAGGTGGCTGCCCTGTCCCTCTCCATAGCTGGCGGCTCCATTCTGAGCAGTTCTTGCTGCCCATTTGCTCTCAGGGGAAAGCTCACGCCCCCCATCTTAGCCCGGGGGGGAGTGGGTGGTGCTGGTGATGGGATGGTGTGGCGCTCCTGCTGTGGCTGTCACCAGGATACTCTTTGGGAAGGAGGGTCCCCCAGTCAGGTGGTGCTCTCCTGGTCACTAGGGGTGTACATGTGAAGTTGGGTGAACACCTGCTGGTCATGGTACCCAGTGATTCTTGCCCACGTGGGCAGCTGGGCAGAGGCCCTTCTGGGTCTTGGAGTCTAATGAAGACCATAGCAGCCCAAGGAGTGTGGGTCAATTTTGAGTGGGAGCCAAGTCTGGGAACCCGTGCGCGTCATGTTTGGGTCAGGTTGGCTTGGCCACCACTGAAATAAGCAATAAGTATGGGCTCCTGGTACCTGTGGATCTCCTGCAAACAGGTCCAGAGAACAGCCTTGAAGCCACCTTTCCCCTCAAGGGGATGGACCCTGTCCTTAATGCTGCAGTGGCATCCAGGGATCAGTGGAACGTTGCTTTGAGAACCCTCTTGCCTGTTACGGAGACAGCACAAAGCTGGTGCCCCCTGAGCCAACATGGCACTGGGATGGCTTTCCAGGACAGAACTCTGTCAGTGACAGTCACATCTCAAATTAATAGCTGATTTTAAAGGCGAGCAGTAGTGACGCCATATGCCTGAGTACAGGTGGCAGCGGCAGAGCACCGTGGGCTGTAGAGGGTCAGACGGGGCCTCCCACGGGGGAACCCTAGGACGCTGCAGCCCAGGGTGACCCTAGCTCTGAAAGCCCCCAGTGGGGGTGCCCTTTCAGATGCTCCCTTTCCATTTCAAAGGCTCAGATTCTTGACGGTGAAGCTGGCCGCAGCACTGGCACTCGGCTTCAGTGTCCACTGTGACGGACTGTCCCCTTTCTTGCCTCAGCCAGGCGGCCAGGTCCATCCTGGCCCAGAACATGCTGAGCACATTTTTGTAGGGGGCACCTTCTTATCCAAGTTACTAGCTACACACCAGTGTTTAAAGAGAAAAAAGTGACCTTTCATTTTTTTTTCTTGAAACTTGAGGAAACAAAGATACATACTACTGATTTTTTTTTTTTTCTTAAAGAAAAAAAACAAAATGCATGACTGCAGAGTGGCAGAGGTGTTTATTTTTCATACTGTGGGGGGTGTATTTGTGCTGCTTTTTGGAGATGGACTGGAACATCTGCTTTCTGTCCCGGGCCCGGCAGCTTCGTCTATTTTCTGTAGAAGGTGCCACCGTGAGACCTGGAGCCACCCTTTCCTGCCCTGGCACGGTTTAGAGCTGGGAGCCTGTGACTCCCGGCCTGTTTCTACCTTCTATCCAACCACTCTGATGTGGGGAGACAAAAAGAAATAGAACTTTTTGATAGCGTGGTAAAAACACTGATTTGAACTATTTTAGTAAAAGGAGTAACAAGATTGTGATAGTGTATACTTTGAGCTAGATAAATAAAGGCCTCTTTGTGCGCCTCCTGGCTGGCTGCTCGGTGTGTTTCTGTCATGGGGGGCAGGATCAGAGACAGGCCATGGCCCCTCAAGCACCTCAGATGAGGGTTCACTCGGGGCCCCTTAGGGTAGATGGTGAGGCTGCTGCCCCTCCAACTGCCTCCGTCTCATCACAGGTGGGTTGGTTTCAAACCCAAGCCCGTGTCTGACTGTATTCTATGCACCAAGGCAGGCGTGGGACACAGGCAGGCTGGCTTGGCACGCAGCTGTGCCGATCCACCCAGAGTACCTTGGGAGACGCTGGGGTTGGCTCTCTGGCCAGGCCTCTCCTGCATCCCCAGGGTCCGGAAGGAGGAAACGGGCTTCAGCAGATTTTGTAACCCAGGGACTGCAAAGGCCTGGAGCCCCACCTTCCACCCATAACAAAGAAAGGGATAGTTTCAGAACTGCTTTTATTTGGATAACTGACTGAAGGAGTCTCATTTGTAACCAAGATGGAATTCACAGTATGTTGTTACATTCACACTTAAAAAATATATCTCTATGTACAGGAATTTGCAAATAGATGTAAACATACATTACTTTCCAAATACATTTCTCCCCTTCTCCCTGGAGGAAAAAGAAAAAAGCCATCCAACAGGCAACCCCTTCGAAACAATTTTAATACAAAGGATGCAAACATCTATAAATGAAAAGTGTGGTTCTTCTGACCCTTCTGGGTGTCATGGGAGAGAACGTCATTGAATGAAAATGACAACAGCTTGACTTCAGATGGAATTGGACTATTTAAAATGGAGTTTCCAGGAAAAGTAGGCACTGATTTCTAGAAGGAAATTAACTCCTTACCGAAGCTATTTATTGAGCCAATATGGCTGGTTAACATCTTCACTAGTATAAAGTAACCCAGTGCAGGACTCAGACGTGAGCTGAACCAAGTGTACACGGTCAGACTGCAAGGGCACTGATGAGACTACTCTGAAAGCTGGCTGTCCCCGTCCTCCAGATGAGGACCACCCCAATTCTATCCCAGGGGCCTGGTCCATTCCTCCCACACTGCAATGGTCACGCATTATACAAGGTACCCTGCTGCTTTCCCACTTCAACTACTCTGCAAGTTGATTACAAAAACTTGTTTTTTTAAAAAAAAAAAAAAAAGGGAAAAAAGGCTCACGTTATCTCATCCAGGCTGCCCGCCCCAGCCCCCCAACTGGAGGCATGCCAGGTGGGGGAATGGGCGGGGACACAGGGGGCTGTCCTCCGGGGGCACAGCAGGAGGTGGGTAGCTGGCTGGTGGCAGACCCAAGCCTGGAGGAAGGTGAGGGGCGACTGCGTGGGTAGGGGTCAGGTGTGGAGGTGGGGGTGGGAAGTTGGGGTTATAGGTGGGTGGGGGTGGGGAGTAGCCAGGAGTAGGAGGTGGGATGGCAGGTTGGGGGAAGGAGGCCGGGGAGAAGGCATAGGCGGTGGGGGTGGGTTGGGCGGGTAGACGTTGAGGTAGTAGGGCAGGTGTGCACGCCGGCCGTTGGTGGGAGGGCCCCTTGGCCTTCATCATGGACTGCAGGCTCTGGTAGCCCTCTCCAGACATGTAGGAGCTGGTGGTGGACATCCCGGTTATGTAGCTGGAGGGGGGTGGGGGCGGGGGCCGGTGTGGCAGTGGTGGTGGCTGGTGCACAGGAGCCGGGTGGGCCGGAGGAGGAATCTGGACTTTGGGGAGGTCAGTGGCATCCACAGGGCCTGGCGGCTCAGCCTCACCTAAGGCAGCAGCGTGGGGAGGCTTCCGGTCTGCAGGAGAGAGATGCGTCAGTGCCTGGCCTCCGCCAGCAACGGCTGCTCTTTCAGTGCCTCCCGGCCCTTCAGGGCCACCTTTACAGAGGAGCAGGGAGCAGCTGCCACCTCTGTGGCCCAATGCATGGGCCCGTGCCCCATGTCCTGATGCCACCAGATGTCTCCCCGTCATCTGTCGAAAGGGCCCTCCATTCTGTCTGGCATGGCCTGGGGTTTCCTTCCCTCAGCCCCAACCACACCACCCACAGGCGGTCTTGGCAGCACACAAAGCCCCCCTGTGCCCCGGCCCCGGCCCCGGCCCCCCTTCCTAGTGCAACAAGCGTGGGGGCTCTGCTTTTCTGCCCGTTTCTGTCTTCAGAATCTGAGCCCAGGAGTCAGGACCACAATGAACTCCTGTCTGCAGCACTGGCATTTTTCAGAGAGCCTCAGAGTTAGTCAAATGAATTGATGGCACTTAAAACAACTCTTTACAAGCCTCTGACACTCCCAACGTATCCATCAACGAAGCAATTCAGGTTCCACTCCACTCAAGATGGGCTAGATACACCCCACTGCGTGCTCTCAGAGAGCAGTCTCCTTGAGAGAAGTGTGTGCATGCGTGCTGTGTCTGCGTGTGCAACGGGGACAGGTGGTACCAGGTATCGAGCACTCCCGAGATACCCGTGCTCAGAACCAGCCACAGGCCCCTCCCAGCCCACAAGCCCTCACGCCCACTTCCACCAAAGCCTTATCTACACCTTTTGGCCTGTGATCCCTTGGCCACCATCAGACCCCTGGAAAATGATGTCGATACACCCCACCACAGAGAGCCAAACAGAATGAGTGTCCTTTCCCAAGGCAGCCCAAGAGACAAACCATAGGAGCAACATGAGAAGAACACATGGCTCCAGAGAAGGGCATAAAGAGGGCAAAGGCCATCAGAGACTTCTGTTCCCCAAGCACTTGGGCTGGGCAAGGCACAGCATGGCGTCCTGGTTGTGTAGACATGGACACTGGTGCACAACCTGTCTGATCTCGTCAAAGTGAGCATGAGCAGGATTTCAGGTCAGCAACAGGTGTGCCACTGGGGCCTGCCTGTGCAGACCAGTGCCCCCCAGTCCACCAGGCCGAAGGTCAGACATGCCTGACCTTAGAGAACTGGTTTCCGCTCCAGGTTGGGGCCAGGTGCTCTGGGGTTCTGGAAGCTGACTAAAAAAGAGGTGCAGAAAAGTGCCAACACCCTTTAACGCTTCCGGTGTGTCACTCCATAGCCACTTGCCCACAGGCCTGCTCCTCCACCTCGCAGAAGCCAACTCTTCCAACACTCAACCCCAAGGCCTAAATCTTCATGTCACCAGTGCGCCTGCCCTTGTCCTTTGTCACTGAGCTGGAACAGCAAGTGGGGATCTCCCCTCGGCACCCCATTCCCTCTCTGCACACTTGCTCCTGACCCAAGTGCCACACACGGCCACCAAACTGCCTCCTAAACATCCCTGCTGACTTGAACATTTCTTCCCTCAGCCTAGGCCTCCCAGGAACTACGCTTCCTTCCCTTCGTTACTGCCCAGCTTTGCTGCCTCCACCTTCGGAGGCGCCGTGGCTCCCAGGCCCTGCTCTCTTCACCACGGCCTCCTGGCAGTGGTTCTGGCTCCCAGGTCTCATTCGAGTCCCAGGCCTACTCCTGGCCGGCTGTAATGGGGGAGGGAGCAGAGCTCTGAGGCCTCCACAGCAGCTACTCAGGCCCTGGAGGCAGCAGCACCCCTCTGGCCGCCCCGGGCTCCCCAACTGAGCCACTTGTCTGTCTCCTCAGCGCAGGGGCAGCCTGACTTGGACCAGAGGAACTGCACCTGGCAAGGTGCTCCCTAAATGCTCCATGAGCAACAGCAGGCGCTGTTTAAAGTAAGGTTCATATTGAAATGGGGGTTTTGGGATTTGGCCCAAAGTGGAAAATGACACCTCTGTTTTCCCAAAGCACAAACGCTATCATGATTGAGTAGAAACAGAAATGTCATCTGTGGCACATCTGTTAGGGACACACGGTGCTGTGAGCCCCAGAGTGAGCCACGTGCACCGACCAACAGTGACTGCAGCGGGTGGGAGAAGCCGACACAGGCTCGGAAGCCTCCGGAGTATTAACCACCTTTCGGAAAGAAAGCACAGGTCACTCCGGCCTTCTCTAGCGCTTCACCTTCTGAAATGGTCAATGGAATGGCCACAGGCAAAGAATGCCATCTGCTTTCCAGCTTTTCTCCTCTATTTCCACTGGGATCGGAGAGGCTTTGCGGTGTGCCACACACCTGTGGAGAACTTCTCACTCTTTCATTTACTCTGTACAACTGCTTCTTCGTCCAAATGCACTAGGACGACACCCTGCCGACAGGAAGCAGGTGTGGGAGGCCGGAGCCCAGCACCACAGTAACCCTGCCTCCATCTGGATAAACGCTCAGCTGGCAGGGTTTGGCTTTCTTTCCTAAAACTGATTCTAATACAATGTGTAGTTTAGCATTTCTGGATGTGATAGGTCGGAGAATAGTTAGATATACTTAACAATTCACAACATTCTCAAACTATCTGGTGAAAAGGAGAATTTATTTTTCTTGAGACAGTCTCCTCCTTACCCAGGCTGGAGTGCAGTGGTGCCATCACAGCTCACTGTAGCCTCCATGCCCAGGGCTCAAGCGATCTTCCCATCTCAGCCTCCTGAGTGGTTGGGACTATAGGTGTGTGCTACCATACCTGGCTAATTTTTTGGATAGGGTCTCACTTTGTTGCCCAGGCTGACCGTGAACTCCTAGGGTCAGGTGATCCTCCTGCCTCAGCCTCCCAAAAGTGTTGGGATCATAGACATAAACCATTGTGCCCGGCCCGAGAACAATTTTTCAAAGATTCCTGCCTGTGGCTGATGCTGTAAATCTGGGCCCCACCGTCCCCCTTTTCTAAGCTCCCAGGACCTGCTGTGTCCATCATTCAGCGGCAATGTGTACAGCTGGCCAAGCTGCTTCAGCAGATGCTTACCTGGAGGTGGGTGGGCTGGAGGCAACGGTGGGTGAGTGGTCTCAATCTTGGGAATTTTAGGTGGTGGTGGTTCTACAAAAAAAAAAAAAAGCAGATTGGAAAGCCGCTCGGACCTCTTCACATGATTAAGCATGCCATAAAGAAAATGTACTGGCAGAGGTTTCTTTGGGAGAAAAAGAACAGAGATGAGCAAGGCTTTAACTTGAAGAAGGTTCTCAGCTAAACCATTATGCACGAATCCTGTTAAATTAAATACTACCTTCCTCCACAAGACCTGCAAGCTTCCCGCAGGCAGGCCATTCTCCACGCCTACCTGAGTTCCCTTGCTGACTTCACACAAGTCCTTCCAACGTGAGGCCAGCAGAGCGACCTCTTCATGAGCATGTATTACCTATCTGGAGTCCTCCCTGGTACAGAGATACCAAGAAAGGTCCAGAGTAGCAGCAACATGTCACTCAGTTCCCTGGGGGTTCACAAGAGAATCTCTACCTTTTTGTAATTTATTTACTCTCTCCCAAATACTGACTTCCCGTTGGCAGCACGTCAGAAGCAGCGCATTAACTGGGCTCAGAAGAGCTCTGGAGGCTGACACGCTGATTGCAGGAAGGATGTGCTGCTCATAAAAGCCCAGCAGTCGGGACTCCTGAGGGAAACAGCCCACCCTTCCAGGGTCAGGCAGCGGTATGCAGCCAGTCTCCACAATGGCGGCACTAGGTCTCCAAGGCAGCCCATGGGAAGTCCAATCTCTTCCATTTAAGAAGGCAGCATGCACAGCCCAGCTGAAAAAGAACCCTGTCTTTCTGTTTGCATGTTGAGGCTTTTCCTTCCTGAAATGTACTTTCTTCTGGCTTGTATACCACTCAGGTCTGGGTCCCCTCTCTGGATTTCCTCCATCTCAAACAGGCTCGATTCAAGGTCCAGGGACCTCCTCTCTCTTCACCCTCTTCCTCAGAGTCCAAACTACTCTAAGTGGACAACTACAAACGTACATTTCTAGTGTCTATCTTGCCACCAAAACCATGGCCCACCCCTAGACCCACCGACCAGCACCTCGCACTCCTCCTTTTCCCTGCCTCCGGTAACCGGTACTGCTCTCACCTCAAGAACCCACCTCCTCCCTTTATCCACAACTGCGAATAGGCAGCTGCTGCTGTCTACATCAGGGCTGTCCAACAGCAATATAACCGAGAGCCATGTATCTACAATTTTAAACTTTCCAGGAGCCACTTTAGTTTCTGAGACAGGGTCCTGCTCTGTCACCCAGGCTGGAGAGTGTGGTAGTCATGGCTGGCTGCAGCTTCAACCAGCCAGGCTCAAGGGATTCTGCTGCCTCAGCCTCCCAAGTAGCTGGGACCACAGATGCGGCACCACCACGCCCAGCTGATTTTTAAATTTTCGGTAGTGACAGGGTCTCCCTGCACTACATAACACTCGAGGCCCGGCTGGCCTCGAATTCCTGGGCTCAAATCATGCCTTGGCCTCCCAAAGTGCTGGGATTACAGGTGTGCCAGGAACCACTTTAACAAGTAAAAGGAACACTCCAGCCTGGGCACCAGAGCAAGACTTTGGGAAAAAAAAAGTGAAAAGGATCAAAATTTATTTAACCCCACAGATCTAAAATTTTATCTCAACATGTAACAATATAAAACTTTACTAATGAGAGGCCTCACACTCTCCTTTCTTGGCAATCTCTTGTGTATTTTACCTGACGGTGCTTTGGAATTTGAGCCAGCCACATTTTGAGTGCTCATAGCCCTCTGCAGCCAGTGGCCTGCACAGCACAGCGCAGCTAAGCTCCTCTATGAAGCCGCCTCTGGACCCACCCTTCCTGCCCGCAGCCAGCACGCCAAGGCCACCATGTTTCACCATGCTTCCCGTGGGTGTCGGCAAGCTTCTCCCCATTCCCAACCACTTGCTGTATTTACTACTGCCAGGGGACTCGTTCTCAAATGAATTTAGACTCTTCCATTTCCCTGCTAAATCTGCAATGGCTTCCCTTGCCGCTGCAAAACTCACAGTCCTCCGGGTGAACTCTGATCTGGTCCTAACCCACATTTTAGACCCTATCAGAAGCTACTGCCTTTCAATCTGTCACATTCCAGGAAGACTCCTCTCCATTTCCCCAAGATTCTCAATTCTTTTGCTCACTTCCGTCCTTCCACCTTACTGCTCCATCCATCCCCTCTGCTCCCCCTGCTCAAAGGCAGCTCCTCCTTCAAGGTCACATGCAGCTTGTTTCCTGCCCCACTGACAGCACATCAGCTCATCTCAAATGCATCCCACGTGGCATGGAGCACAGACCATTCTTGTGTCTCACATTTAATGCCTGTCCATTTGAAACTAATTAAAAAATTCACCTGTAGGTTGGGAGCGGTGGCTCATGCCTATAATCCCAGCACTCAAGAGGTTGAGGCAGGCAGATCACCTGAGGTCAGGGGTTCAAGACCAGCCTGGCTATCATGGATAAAACCTGTCTCTACTAAAAATACAGAATTAACCGGGAATGGTGGCACATGCCTGTAATCCTGGTTACTCGGGAGGCTGAGGCAGGAAAATCACTTGAACCTGGGAGGTGGAGGTTGTGGTGAGCCGAGATCGCACCATTGCATTCCACCATGGGCAATAAGAACAAAAGTCCATCACACATTCTCTCTCTCTCTCTCTCTCTCTCTCTCTCTCTCTCACACACACACACACACACACACACACACACAAATTCACCTGTACAGAACTCATCACTCCCTCATATATACTGAAAAAAAAAAAGCTCTATCATAACTGGAAGATGTCACAGCAGTTTGACGAATAATTCACTGGAACTAAGAACCAAGTAGCAAAGAAACAGAAATGAGTCAACCTGGTCTGTGCCTTCAAAGAGTTCAGTATGATGGGCGGACTGACCCTATGACCAAACATTTCTAACTTTCTGTTCTGTAACTGTTCCAATTTTGCTCGCTCCTTCTGTTTATTTCCAATACAGACATGAACTAACTTTGGGTTCTATAGACTTGTGACGCCCCCTCAACCCAAGTGTGTTTAAAAGAGGCCTGGCATGCATGTGCAGCCAGGCCGGGCTGGGCCGTGGCTCTCTGGGCAGCACACCACCCACCTACTGCGGCTTGGTGCTCGGAGAGGACTCTGCTGCTGTGACGGGGGTAACTAATCTCTGAAACGAAAACTGCAGCAACAGTTCTCCTACACCCATCATTTTATTTTTATATATGTTACTGAGTACATTTTTATTGCCAATAACATTTTCTCTATTGACAGTTTCATAAGAGCACGATTTTAAAATGTATGCTCAGGTGATAAACAGACAATGCAGTTTTGCTGATGGAAAAGTTCTGGAAGAGCCCTAAAGTTAAGACTTAAGGCTAATTTAGATCTGAAAGGAAACAACATTGGCTAAGAATTTAAAGTTTTGCATATGAACACATAAAACTAAAAAACAAAACATCAGAACAGGAAATTACCTGCTGCTTTGTTCTCTTCTTTGGGAGATACAACCTGTTACAAAAGAAATATACAACTGTTAACTGGGATCCTGAGTATGAAGAGAAAAAAATGGATTATCCAGGTACCACCAGAATCAGTGACAGTGGTAGTCACTGTGAACAGCCTCAGACAAAAATTATTTCTGGCCTAAACTTTCAGGGCAACCCACGGCACCTACCAGATTGTCATTTCTGCTCCCTTCCTCTTTCCATTTACCAATATAAGACAGAATGACTAGCTTTCCTGAATGGTGATTTCCAAGTAACACTAAGTTTCGGGATCACTTGGGTGCAGGAAACAGTCCTCTGTTTGGGGTCAGGCAGCTGCACAGAAGCAGCATGCACAATGACACTGCTAGGCCCCAGCAACGACACCCTGACAGGCTTCAGAACCCTGGCAGGGACGACACAGGCAGCAGGGCTGGAGCTGTGCAGAGGGCCCTCCTGGTTCTCAGAGGCGGCCTGTCCTTGGAGCACCTTCATTTTCAGGCTCCCCGGAGACACACAGACTGAGTTTGGGTGGATCACCCCTGCTTCCGGCATTCCCTGCGGTCGCTTAGAAATGAGAACAGTGCTCAGGTGTGGCTGCCACCTGGAAAGCCCGCCCTGCTCAGGGCCTACCCTGGCCTACTCACCACGGCTCGCTTAACCTGTCGGGGAGAACTGGGCTGCGGAGAGGGTTTCTTGGGCTGCTGGGCTGGCTGCTGCTGCTGGGCTGGTTGCTGGGGGTCCTTCTGCTGGGGCTGGGATGGTTCGGAGCCTTGAGACGGTTGTGACTGTTGTACTTGCGGCACTTGTGGTGTAGGCTGAAGAGATGGGGGCTGTTGCAGCTGATGGGGGGTGTGATGAGGCATCTGTTGTTTTCCTTGTGAGTAAAGATCCAGGATTTGGTGGCATATGTCTAAATGATAGCCAACAATTACATTTGACACAAACTGGCATTTAAAATAAAACTGTACCTGGATAAAGAATCAGTTACGATATCCCCAGGAGGACCTAGGCATGAATCACATCTGCAACTCACCCTATCTTGGTTGTGCACAGACTGGTGTGCATTTTTAGTTTGCCAAAAGTATGTGTCTGGACACTCTTTTTAGATAATTTAATTAAAGATGCTTCTGAATTATTGCTTATCTATGTCTATTTGGAAAAATCCACTCTTGGGACTCAGGGTATACTTGGAAGAATAAGCTAAACATGGAACACCCTCACAAGAAAGCTTAGCATGCCTGATACCTTCCAAAACGTCGACTGGGACATCTTGAACAAACTGCTCCCACCATCTCCTATACATGGGTTTGGAGGTCCATTCTTGTATTTCGAATTTGCACAAACGTCCTGCGAGATACATCACTGCTACTGCTATGATCTCTGGTTCCCACTGCAGTGACAAGGTGGTGCAGAGACTAGTTCAACAACAAAAAAAAAAAAGTTAAATTATATGATCTAACATTTATGATTAAACCAGTGCATGAAGATGCCATAACTAACCATTAATTTGCTCATTCGCCCCTAAATCTAATTAAAGTACTATACATAAAAACACTCAAGTCTTTAGTCTTCTAAAGGTACCCAAGTTACTTTAACCACAATTAGTAATTTATCTATTCCTTAAAGTATCGGGAAAATTCTCTAGCACATTCAAAAATTGCTACAACATGAAATACAAATGAAAATGTCTTATGTTATTTAAGCTGTTGAAGTCCTAGCCACTCAACTGCTTCTTCAAACGAAATCGTACGGGGGAAGTCAAACGTGAGAGAAGCTTCACTGACTGCGGTGTGATGGGGCTGACAGCCACTCTATCCACAGGCATTCTGTTTCCCACCATGGTACCTCATTAGATCCCTGGCCTCTAAAAAGCATGTCAAGGCTCCAAAACTTTTATACCAGGAAGTATATTTTTGCAGAACCAAATGGGCTCCAAGTATTTAGTTTTCAAAATTTTCCAGTGTATTGTTTTGGACTTCTGTTTCAGACTGGGGATAAAATTTCAGCATCTCACACCATGACACAGCAAGGGAGAAGGAAACCCTCTGCTGGGAGCCCCAGCTCTGCCATTCACTGACTCTTCAAGCCAGGGCAAATCAGTTTCTTCCGACACAAAATGAGGCGTTTAGATGAAATGGCCCATAAAGTCTCTGCCTATTTTAAAATACTATAATTAAACAATATTTGAACATGTATACCTGTCATTTACAAATGTCCATGCCATTTGAACCAACTTTTGAATTTTGTTTTTATCACCTAGAAATGGGGGGGAAAAAGGTAAATTAATAGCAATAGAAAAAAATTCACAGGCAGCAGCAAGTATTTACTGAAAACCTACTACAGGTTCGGCACCACTCAAATACACGGCAAAGAGCTTTTGCCTGGGAAACAAGGATGAATGATGTGAGTCCATGTCCTACCCCTTCTTCTTCCTCATGACCTACGCCAAACCACCATGTATGGAAAACCTGGTTCCAAGGCTAAGTTTATTAGGTTATTTAAAAAATTCTGACTCATTTTCCTGCCTCTCATATCACTCGGCAACTGGATGGCAGAGCTTGTTTATACATAAAAGGAGACAGCATTAATGGCTGCAATACTGAATTGACTGAGCAAACCACGTCCTTGGTATTTTACACATAAACTTTGTTTCCTCTTTTGAGAAGCGTAATCTGAGTGTCATCAAATTATAAAGACTTGATTTCAGAATGAAAAAGTTCTTCTGAAAATTTGTCTTCTTACCTTTGAGTTGCTTTGCATATTTGAGTAGGAACTGGTATGGGTGTTCCACCTGTAAATCAAACTTGATGGTCTGCAGTAAGATTCTCTCCAGAACCATTACTTCCTCCTAAAAATCGACCACACATTAGGGTGGTAATTCCAATCACAGGTCTCAAGCAGCGTTACAAAAGTGAGCTTTCCCATCTATTTATTCTCTCTTGAACTTATATTTTAGCAACTGTTTTTCATTCCTTTCTCTCCCGTTCAGACTTTTAACATGCTCAGAGACACTGACAATAAATTCTGAAAATATCTCAAACAGAAAGACAAATCAGAGGGTTAATGTAAGAAAATACTGAAAACAAAATAAAGATCCTTAAAAACATTATTACCTTCAATACAGACAAGAGTCTCCCTTTACAAAACAGGTCTTTATGTTATTGATAATTTGACTAAACTGTAATTTCTTTCAAGACCTCAAATTTTAAAAATGTAATCTTTTAGGAATATTCATTGAAAACATTTTAAGCAAGAAAGAGTTTATGATAGCCTCGTGAAAACTCAGAAAGAGAAGTTGTACCAGTGTGTGTGTATGTGTGTGTTTGTATATACACTCATACGCATGTACACATATAGTGTATTATGTGTCAATAGGGGCAAATCAATTTTGTTTAAATCTTTATTTGAAATAAACGGTCCCAACATCACCTACTGAATGATCATTTCCAATTTTATTTAAAATGCCACCTAAATCACCTCCTAAACTATGTTTGTATGTCTGCATACACACAATCTTTTCTGTTCACCGATCTGTTTGTCTACTGCTGTACCAAGATCAAAGGGATTTGGGTGGGATACAATAGCTCCAGTATTACTTCTCTTTTTCAAACAGTTTCTTGGTTCTGCATGTCCCCCTCACCCAAATGTTAGTAGCCATTTTAGTTAGTATCACTCCAGAAAACATACATGCTACTAATATTCTCACTGGGAGCTCACTGGATTTACAGAATGATTAGGGAGAATGGAGATTTTCAACCACATTGAATTTTCCTTCCAAAAATTTATTAATTAAATCTTTTCAGTCCTTTAGTTATTTTAAAAGTCCTCCCCACCCCACTAACAAGGTTTCCACAAGGTTTATCCTTGGATATTTTACTGCTGCTATCATTAATGAAATGTCCTCTTTGATAATACTCTCTAACTAACGTCTTGAACTCAGCCTCTTTAGAGCGGAACTGTACCTACAACGTTGAGCACAATCAAGACACTGTGTCGGGAGGACAACTGCAGAGAATTCCTTGTTTGGCATCAAAGAAAGGGCACTGTAGAGGATGGTAAATCTCATCAAAAGGTGCACAGACCCATAGGTCACTAGCTTTCTTTAAGAGCATGGTATTATTTTATAGGATATGGAGATAATTCTATAATGATTTATTATTTCAAATTACATGGCAAGATTAAGGTTTTTCAACTCAAGTTTCCCAAGCATTTTCTCATGAAAGTTTTTAAAAATCTTATAAACTTTCACACAGTATAAAAAAAAATTGGGCCAGACATGGCGGCTCATGCCTGTAATCCCAGCACTCTGGGAGGCCACGGCAGGTAGATCACTTGAGGTCAGGAGTTCAAGACCAGTTTGGCCAACATGGTGATACCCCATCTCTACTAAAAATACAAAAATTAGCTGGGCGTGATAGCATGCACCTGTAGTCCCAGCTACTTGGGAAGCTGGGGCAGGAGAATTGCTTCAATCCGGAGGCAGTGGCTTCAGTGAGCTGAGACTGTACCACTGCACTCTAGCCTAAGTGACAGAGTGAGACTCTGTCTCAAAAAAAAAATTATTTTTTTTCTTTGCCTGTCATTGTCACCACCTGCTTCCCAGAAGCTTCAGCATTTACTCTAAATTTAGAAAGAATTTTTTTTACCAAGTGTACCAATGGGCTTGCAGGCTGTAGCCCATATACTGTTACAGGATAGCCCAAGGCCTGCCTTCCCTCTGTGTTCCAAATATTCAATTAATAGGTCATTACAGGTATTTGAGCAAACATCATTCCTCAGGAAAGCTTTCCTTCAGCCCGATATTTATCTGGGGGGGTTGCCTGGGTCCCTGGGTGGAACGCTATCACAGCACTTAAATGATCTTTTATAGTGTGCATCACAACTAACAATCAAGTAGTTACATACTCATTTGATTCAAATGTATCCTGCCACTCAACTGTGAAGTCCATGAGAGCAACGACCGACCGTGTTCGTGTCTCATGTCTAGTGCCTAACACAAAGGCTAAAATAAATACTGAATATTACAGGGAAAACCACACAATTAAAACAAAGCGAATGAAGGCAAAAAAAGTTTCATGTGACTCATGATCTTATTTTTCCTAATTACTTATACTGCCTCCCCAAAATAACTGCCCTCCTCTCTGCCAAGGAAAACATTTTCCACAATGTCTTTACTGCTCCCAGATCCGGGGGTTTTCCTTTGGCCCCTGCTCCCCAAATCATGTCAGGGAAGACTGCACGAGATAGAGAGGCAGGGGGCAGGCTGCAAAGTCCCCCTCACCCATTCAGGTCTAATTGATATGGGGACCCCCCTTTTCTTATTTTCTGGGGCACAGGAGCTGCAGAGCTTCTATTTCACTGTGCCTAGATCGGGGCTTGGTTTCCTGACTTCATGGTACAGTGGGTAAAGGCTGAAAATAAAGGGGGACTTCTCCAAGGCACCCCGGGATAGCTCAAACCAGGAGCTGCCATGAGTCCTTGCCTTGCCGTGGTCCCAGGTCTGTGTGATGCCTTATCCTTAAGCACAGCTTGCCAGCCACAAGGTTCACCTGCCTGTGCGACCAGGGCGTGACTGAACTACAGCATGTTCCCACCATCAGACTGATCACGTCAGGACACAGTAAAAATCAAATACTCATGCGCATTGAAAACATTATCTGATGGTGAAACTGTATCTATAAAACTGCATTTTCAGAGTTACTGTTACTATGAGTTCCTAAGAGGTTCAAACTTTTATAAAGAGGCTGATGGATTTATAATTAAGTTCAAAGGAGTTACCTGCATTGGCAATACTTACAAAATATTAGTGTTAATCACAACCACAATATAGAAGTGTTCTGGGCCCTTGTTAACTCCTCAAAGCAATGAGGATGAGTATACATTTTGTATATACATACACACTGCTCGGCAGAGACAAAGATATCTACTGTGAGACAATACAGCTGGTTAGGAAAAACAACACCATGAATGGTGCTGAACTTCATTGCTTTAGCTTTGCTTTAACTGATTTAGAAATTTCCTCTTAACAATAGTTTGACATTTATTCCACAAGTGCTTGTTGAATGCCTACTCTGTCCTGCCACTGTAAGAGGCACTAGACAGACAGTCTTTGCTCTCATGCATCTTACAGCTGAGAAGGGGAGGGAGTTATGTGTGTGATAATTTGATAAAAATCTATCTAATGGATGCTACTATCTAAATGCATACCACTAAGTGAAAGAGACCAATCTGAAAAGCTACATCCTGTATGGTTCCAATTCAATGACATTCTGGAAATGGCAACGCTACAGAGACAGTAAAAATATCCGTGGTTGCCAGGGGCTGGGGGAAGAAGGAGGCAAAGAGGTAGAGCATAGAGAACTTTTAAGGCCATGAAAACAGACTATACGATATTATAACAGCGGCTACATGTCATTATACTTATGTCCAAACCCATGGAATGTGTAACACTGGAATGAACTCTAATGTAAACTTTGGACTCTGGGTGATGATGTGTCAATATAGGCTCATCAGTTGTAGCAAATGTACCACTCTGGTGGGGGGATGCTGAAAATGGGGGAAGCTGTGCATGTGTGGGGTAGGGAGTACAGGGGAAATCTCTGTACTTACCATTTATTTTTGCTGTGAACATAAAACTCCTCTAAAAAAATAAAGTTTTTTTTCCCCCTGAGAAGGAGTCTTGCTCCATCTTCCAGGCTGGAGTGCAGTGGTGCGATCTCAGCTCACTGCAACCTCTGCCTCCCAGGCTCAACCAATTCTCCTGCCTCTGCCTCCTGAGTAGCTGGGACTACAGTTGCATGCCACCTGAGTAGCTTTATGCCCAGCAAAAAGTAATGCATACTTTATGCCCAGCAAAGTAATAAAGATTTTTTTTTAAAAAGAAATATTATTTTTTTCTTATATCATAGAGATGCGGTTTCACTATGTTGCCTAGGCTGGTCTTGAATTTCTGGGCTCAAGCAATCTGCCCGCCTTGGCCCAAATAAAGCATTTTTGAAAATCTATTTAATTGCAAACTGTGATAAATATTATGAAGGATAATTAACAGGCCCTACAGGGGTTGCAATAAGGGGAACTTGAGAGAATGGGAGTGGAGGAACACTGCCACGGGTCCCTAAAAGTGGTATTTTAAATTTACAATAAAAGGGTATGTACAATGATTTGAGCACCACTTGCTGACACCGGCGTGAGTTGTATGGAAAGGACAGGATGGGTAGCATGACCGGTATCAAGCTCTGGATGACAAAAATGCTGCAAATGTTGACACCTTCCAACACTGTTTGGAAGTAAAAGACACACAGCATATATAGGCATGTGTATGTGTACATACAGCACACGTACTTTTGTTTGACCGGGAAGCTAGCTGGAGTTGTAACCCTGCCATCGCCACTGCACCTAAGAAGTAGAGTCCCAATAGCCATTAAGGGGATTTCTGCTCATACCCATGAAATGTGTCATTGCCCCAGAGTGCTCAGAATACTGTTGGGCACATAGGGAAGCACTGAGTAAGTGGAGGCTACACGGTCTTCCCTCCTTTCTTATAAAAGCACAAAGTATCTTCTACAGAAGGCCCTCCTGGGAACTCAAGAGACTGGCAGACACAAGGGCCACAGGCATTGCCAACATGTGGAACTGTATCACAAGGCTTCCGTGAGGAATCAAGACTTGAAGGCAGAAGTTACTGTTCTTACCTTTGGGTCATCTCCAAACTGGCCAAACTGTACATCATTTAATAAACTACGAGCTGTTTTGATGATATCTTTACATTTTTTTGGTGTTTCTTCTACTTTCCCAGCCAGAAAGAGGCAACAGGCTCCTGTCACCTAAAAGGGAAACAAAAGCTCTTGATTTTTGTTATCAAAGATCACATAGAAACAGACACAATAAAATTTGGCCTTCATAATAAACTGGTCTTCCTCATTCCTCTACCTTCCTTTTTCTCATTCACACATAGTCTGATACTCTATAAGCTTGAAGGAAATTTTATACATATAAATCCCCCAAAACTCTAGCTTCATAAACTATTTAAAATTGAGTTTTAACAAAATGTCATGTAAACAAAGAAAATGCCAAAAAGGAACACAGTCACATAAACAAATTTTCTTCTTATATTCCAATCTGAAATTAACTCCCTAAACAGCCAGCTTTGCTGTGGAAAAAGAAAGAGCAAAAGTAAACACAGTCCTGTGGAAGCCTTCTCAACACCACCGCCCATGCTTCCTTTTCTTTCTTCTCTGGTCTGAATGTTTACGTCCTAATTCCCAAGGTGGTGGTATGAAGAAGTGAGGCCTTTGGGAAGTGATTCTGAATGGGATTACTATCCTTCTAAAAGTGGCCTAAGGGGCTTGTTCCTCTTTTCCACCATTTGAGGATGCAGCAAGAAGGAGCCTTTCTGAGGAACAAACCCTTACCAGACAAGGAATCTGCCAGCACCTTGATCTTACATTTCCCAGCCTCTAGTACTGTGAAGAGTTAAGTTTCACAGTAAATTATTGTGTGTAAATTATTGGGTCTAAGGCATTTTGTTAAAGCAGCCTGATAGGATGAAGAAACTGTCTCTCCAGTTACCTGAACCTTAGCTCAGTCCCTGTATCACTGGGGGCCGAACTGCTCTGTCTTCAGCTTCTTTTGCCCGCTCCAATCCTTCCTACATGCCACTGTCCTCACATAATCCTGATCACACCAGATGTCAGACACTCTGCCAGGGGTACAAAACTGATTCCAACATGGCCTCCTTCTTCAAGAACTTCACAAACAGCGAGGAAGACACGCATACAAATCTGACTAAAATCTCAGCAAAAACACAACGACCTTCCTGTTAAGTCGGTCATTTTCACAAAACCTTTTAATAACTGGAATGATCACCCACTAAAGTCAAATTTCTAAAGTCTCGCATTCAAGGCTTATCCTGCTCTGACCCAGTCTATCTTTCCACCCAGGGTCTCATCATTCCCTTCCTGCCAAATCCAGTTCCTGGCTGGGCTGACAATATGCCACATGCTTCCCCCTGCCTCTGCTCATTCTAGCTTCTGCTGGACCACTGACCTAGCCCATCACGGCATTGCGATGCCCTATGTACGTTTAAGGCTTACCTTACTGCTGGCACCTCCTTCCTGGCACTTTCCCTGATCTCTCCAAGATGTTAACTCATCTCCTCCTTGAATGCCACAGCTCTCTATCAGTATTTTCCAATGCCCTCGCTTTCCATCATGTGTTCTGTGAATGTCATACCGCTTACCCTGGACTGAAAGCTACTCTATTTCCCACAGACAGTAAGACATATGCAAGTCTTGAGGAGTGACCAAAGAATGAGTGATATGGCACAGACAACTTCTGTCCCATTTTGCTTTCTTGGTCTTTGTTGAGTCTCAATTATAAGCCTAAATTTATCTTGGGAAAGGTAACAAGGGAGTAAACTTTCACACAAAGTACAAAATGACAATTTGACTATGGTCCATATTGGCCTAAGTGAACAGATTTGAACATGGCTAATTGGAATAAACAAAGTTCAAACTTGATTTTGTTTATATACAGTATATACTGTATAATAATAAATACTTTCTGGAAAATATGAGAAAAAGAGAGACTATAACTAGTCCAGCAAAGCACGTGGAAATAATAACATATGACAGAGAATTACAATAAAATTCAAATACTTACATATCTTGGGAATTGCTTGAAGGAATGAAACATATAGAAGCGATGAAAATAAATTATTCCAGTTGCCAGGGTATCATAGTGTCTGTTCTGGTTAAGGACGCTAACCAATAACTTTTACAGGTTATATTCTTAGTTAAATGTAGAAAAATAATAAAGACAAACAACAACAAAATCAGTGGTAAACAATGTTAGCGGCGAAGAAAGGAGATGGGAATCTCAGCGCGTCAGAATTCTGGTACGAGAATTAGCAGGTTGAAGTTTATACTTTTAACACCCTTTTAGAAACATTTCACCTGTGATCTTTTCTTTTTTTTTTTTTTTTAGAGAACATCTCTGTCACCTAGGCTGGAGTGCAAGGGTGTTATCTCAGCTCACTGCAGCCCAGGCTGGTCTCGAACTCGAGTTCAAGGGATGCTCCAACCTATACCTCCAAAAGTGCTGGGATTATAGGCATGAGCCACTGTGCCCAGCCTCAACTGTGATCTTAATAATGGGTGCCTCATATCCTCCTGGCTGGCCCCACCTCCTCAGTGGCTAAGTCTACACCTTTAAAATGACAAACCAGAAAGAGAAAAACCCCCACCAGAACAACATTCAAACAAAGATATTTAACAACTGCTCTAGTATCTGTTTTGTCTATAGAAGCTACTTATTTCTTGGTGGTGGGTGTGGTGCCTATCTGTAACAGATTCCAATGAGAGTCAGGATACAGCCCCAAACGTGTGCCCACATCAAAGATGAACCGAGCGCCCTCTCGGCGGTACCGGGCCTCAGTGGCTGGATCAAGTCCTTCAAGCTGTGAGGGTGTATGAGCCAAGTCCTTCTTATCCCAGTACCAACATGGTTTTGTGTGGTCCAGGTTTGCTGAAGTTACTGAAGGGCTTGAATTTTCTTTATTCTCCTTCATTTATTGAAGTAGACTTGTTCTTTCCAAAAGGTTCTCTGAAAATGTTAGAATCCTATGAGAAAGAGAAAAGCAAAGTTGGAAAGGAATACTCTATACTATAAGCAATCTACAATCGCAAATTGTATCTGGTTTGCGATCAATATTTCCTATAGGAACTATATTGTCAGTTGCCAGTTAGAAGCCCAGGCTAACTCCAGAGCCAATTTAACACAATACTGTAAGGTGACCCCAGTACTAATATTAATAAATCCCAAATTTCATGGTAATTTAAAAAGTACAGTATACCCCCACCCCGAGATTAAAGGGTTAAACCTATCTGACAAAGTTTTGGAAGAAACCAAGTACATCTCACTTTCTTCTGGTTTTTCTTCACTAGACACACAGGTCCTCTAATGATGGTCCAGATTCCTTTCTTCAGTAAAACCCAGGCCTGCCTTAATCTTTGCAAAGATTTATGTTCCAAAATTAACCTTCTCTTCAATCCAGCACTCCTTTTCAGTTTATTCCATGTAGGCACTTTCACTTAGACAAGTCATGGGATTGAGTGAATTCACATCTGCACAAATCACTGAATTCAGTGATGTAAACCAAATGTGCATATTGTGATTTGGGAGTGGGTGGACGGAAGTGGTCCATGAGAGAAGGAACTCCTTTAAACTGTTCTTGCTTTTTCATCCTCTTCCCTTTCTTTCATTCAGAATAAAGACATTCTCCAAAAGCTCCATGCTGACAGAAAGAAAAGAAAAAACCAAACCAAACCAAGGATCTCATCTACAGGCACTGTTACAAATAAGTCATTCATAACCTGGATCAGAGACAGCAGAAATTTTTAAATGAAGGTTCCAAAATTGCTGGCTAGACCAACGTTAGTCTGGTTAACAAGAAAACAGCAGCTCTGTGGCCATGTTCTGGGCCAAGGCTCCCACCAGTTCATCTAGAAACCTAACCTTTTCTGTGTACCTGCCTCATTTCTGGTGGGGAAGGTGACATGGTGGGGCTGAGTATTCTCTTCCTTGCGCCTGGTAGCTCTGAAGGAAATCTGATCATTCCTCCAAGAGGAAGAATTAAGTACCTGGAGAAAAGCCTGAACTAATAATTTACATTTTTGTGTGTGATTGATTAAACTAAGCACTTTTCAAAGGGCAGGGGGGAGACCAGTTAATTAAAACCTTAGGAAATACGGCCAGGCATGGTGGCTCAAGCCTGTAATCCCAGCACTTTGGGAGGCCGAGGCGGGTGGATCATGAGGTCAAGAGATCAAGACCATCCTGGTCAACATGGTGAAACCCCGTCTCTACTAAAAATACAAAACATTAGCTGGGCATGGTGGTGTGTGCCTGTAATCCCANAGGCAGGAGAATTGCCTGAACCCAGGAGGCGGAGGTTGCGGTGAGCCGAGATCGCGCCATTGCACTCCAGCCTGGGTAACAAGAGTGAAACTCAGTACCCCCCCCAAAAAAAAAAAACAAAAAACCTTAGGAAATATATAAACTGTTCATAATCAGATATCACACTGAGATGCAATTCTCACCTATTGGATTGGCAAAAATCCCAAAGTTTGACAATGTATTCTGTTGGCAAGGCTACAGAGAAATAGGTGATTTTATGAGCTTCTGGTGGGAGTACAAAATGGTCCAACTCTCACAGAGAAGTTGACAATATCTAACAAAATTACACATTCCTTTGCTCTTTGACCTAGCAATCCCACAGATAGGAATTCACTCTGAAAATACTATCAGAACTATGAAATTTCACAATCATGAAACAACATGTGCACTAGGTTATTCACTATAGTGTTATCTACAATGGCCAAACTATAAACAACCAAAACGCCCATTATCAGGGAACTGGCTGAGTAAAACACAGCAAGCACATGTAGCCAATAGCATAGCCCACAGCTGTTGAAAAGAGTGAGAAAGATCGTTAAGTACTGGACAGAGAGATTTCCAGATGAGCAAGGTATATATAGCACAGTGTACACAGTGTATTAGCATCTATATAAGAACGGAGGGGAGAAAACAGACATCCCTATTTTTTAAAATTAAGAAAATTACCAATAGGAAATGAGGAAAAACAGGATGGAAAAGACAGGAATGGAAACAAGACTTCTATATGTATCTATCTTTTTATACAGCTTTGACTTCTTATGAAAGCTTCTATTTTAAACTAATTGTAGACTTATGGAAGAGCTGATAGATGAGTTTTTGTCTATACCCTTCACTTAGCTTTCCCTGATGCAAATGTCTTTCGTAACCATGGTTCACTTATCAAAAATAAGAAATTAACTTTGGTATAACCACTATTAACTACACATCATATTTGGGGATAGGTGATATCAGAACGACTTACTACTGGTAACCATTATCTCTTGGTTAAGATGGAGTCTGCCAGGTTTCTCCTGTGAATTATTATTTTTCCCTTCCTATTATCTATTCCTGAGATGCAAGTCACGAGGTCCAGCCCACACTCAAGGGCAAGAGAATTAAGCTCCACTTTCTGGAGGAAGAGGTATCAAACAAAATTGTGGACATATGTTAAAACCACCCAGTGCTAAGTAAATATTTTGGGGAAAATATTTTACAATGCAAAATACTATACAAACGCTGGTTTCTCCTTCAAGTTTCATCTACTAATTTTAGCACTCACTAATGTGAGTACTAATGTTAGTACTGGGGTGTTCTAATGGTGATAACCTTCTATTTCCTTCACTGCTTCAACATTTATTATTTGGAATAGTTTTGTTAATATTTGTTCTTTCTCTCCCATTTATTTATTTTAGTATAGACATGCACTTTATTTTTTGGTTTATAACCCAATACTACCATTATTTATTTTGTTGCTCAAATTATTCCAATGTGGCCATTAGGTGCTCTTTCTGCTTGACTCCTGAGTACTTTCATAATTTTTGATGTTTGAATCATGTAAATATTTAACATACTCATAAACTTAACTAAAAATAAAAAAGCAAATCCTAAAACTCAAAATAAACCAACTGGGCAACAAAACCACATAAAAAATTGCTTCAAGTAATTTCTGATCTTGTTATATCCTTAGTGAGATAAATCCTAAGGACAAAAAGGACTGAAAAAAAATTTACTGATTTATTTATTGAATCAGAGTCTTGCTCTGAGTATATTCTAAGGACAAAAAGAACTGAAAAGAAACCTATTACATTTGTGTATTTATTGATTGAGTCTTGCTCTGTCACCCAGGCTGAAGTGCAGTGGCATGATCCTAGCTCACTGCAGCATCAAACTCCTAGCCTCAGTGTTCCTCCTGCCTCAGCCTCCCAAAGTGCTAGGATTATGGGTATGAGCCACCGTAGTGGGCCCCAAGAAAGTCTTAAAACTTCATTAATATACTGTTAGTAGTGTCACTAATTAAAACCAAATGTTAAGAAAAAAATCTGTAATGTTAAATATTAACTGAAGATATCAAAATAAATCATGGTTAAAAATATTTCCAGATATATCCCAGTTCTCTCCTTTTCAAGTACCAAGAAGCAATGACAATCCTAATGCTGAAATCTTAACTTTTTCAATACCATCACCCTCTAAAAGGAAGCAGGGTTCCCAGTCTGGGATTGGAGCCTGACTGGGATGTACATAGACTAATCGAAGCTTGTCAAGACACAGGACTGCTGAAGGAATGATTTGCTAGGGGAAAAAAAGACATAGGAGCCATCATGATGAGTGCTCACTGGACAAATGCAAGGTAATTTGAATAGTAAAAATGACTGTAGTTGATCAGAAAATAGTGAATATACAATCCATGTGCCCAAATAATATTAATATATAGAGAGAACAGCACTTTGTTGGCACTGATAATAACTACTGATAATAAAATGGTACTGATAATAAAAGCTACTTTGCTAGCACTGATATTAACTACTGTGAAATAAAAAATACAGTTTATCCTTAACAAAATGATCACACTTGACACCACTAAGGGTGAAAATCTGTCATTATGTAGCTTCTGATGTGATGCAACATGAAATAAATATCACCTCCCTATGTAGTCTTATTGCCCCCCAAAAGCTTAACTTAAATTCAAGCAAACCTTAGACCTAACTTCCAGTTTACAATAAATACTGGAGGTAGAAGAGTAAGTGAAATAGCACAACATGGAAACTATCAGTCACATCCAGAAGATAAGACACTCTACTGAAAAACTGACCGGTCTCTTCAAAAAAGTCAGTGTCATGAAAAAAGAAAAAAGAGAGACTGTCTTAGATTTAAAAAGGCTAACGAGGCCTAACAACAAAATGCAATATGTGAACCTTGATTAGATCCTTTAAAAAAAAATTCAAACAATTAGGAAATAGTTAAGTATGAATTGTATTATCAGAAGATATTAGGAAGTGAATTACTGTCAGTTAATTTTCTTTGGGGCTAACAATGACATTGTGATTACACTGGAGAATTACTTTATTCTTAGCAGATGACGACTGAAGTATCATGATGTCTGCAACCTACTTTTAAATGGTTCAGCTAAAATACAACCACATGGTAAACATGGCAAAAAAAATTAACATGTGTCCATAGGTAAACAAGTAGTTACTGCACTATTCTTTCACATCTTAAAAAGTCGGGGAAAAAGTCAGATGAGACTGCACAGACCAGGAGGGCTTCTTATATCCTTAACTTCATCAACCCCTCAATAAACAAGGAATACTTGCCTATGTGTGGGTAGTGGTTTCATAAATTAAGACATTAGGTTTGAATTATAGCACACAGAAAGAAAAGTGCACTAACTATAAGTGTATGGTTGATTGATTTCACAAAGTAAACACACCTGTGTAACACCATTCAGTTGAGAAACAGAACAGTACCACATCCCAGAAGCTCTCTTCATTCTTTTCCTAGTCACTACCCTCCCAAAGATAACTACTGTGACCTCTATTTCCATCAGTTAGTGTTGCCTGTTTTTGAAGGACCGTGCGATGACACAGCACCACTCTTTTACATTTGGTTTCTTCTGTTCAATATTGTGTTTGTGGGATTCATTCCTGTTGTTGCATAAAGCAGTATTTGTTCATTCTCATTGCTGCAT